ATTAAAACGGCTCATTTTCATATAACAGAAACACAACGATTCTTATTTCCAGGTGATTACACACTAATTAAAACATACTTGTGAGTATTATTATTCCATTTCTGCCAATAGATCCTCCAAAATGTTGCAAACACAACACACAAAATATTATCACGTCATAAAGCTGTTAGCAAACAGTTTTGTACTTACACTACTAGCAGACACACAAGCAACATTATTATTCCTTTGGTATCATGAATGTAAGTCCAACACGCTTTATTTTTACTTAGTTTTTGGTTTCTACCAAGAGGGAAAAATCTGACACTGCTAAATGCTCCACTATGTTCACTAGCAGGTTGCTAACTTGCTAACTGTCTGCTGTTTTATGCTGGGCAGGTAGTGTACAGGGGATTTTTTTAAAGCTTTTTTGTGTGAACAGCTGCCTGCATCTGGAAATGATGCAACGTTTGTAAAACTAAACCAATGAGCTGAAAGACGCTAAAATGGTTTATAAAGCTGAGGGGAACTACAAAGTCAGATGATGATTATCTGCGGGTTCATCAATACAATTGACTACGTTCACATTTCACAATCTTCGTTAATGTAAAAACATTGATTAGTGCAGTTTTAAGTGCTCTCAATACTTGTTCAGCCAATGTTGGTCAGACTGTTTCTGTTGTACTGTATACTCTTTTTCCTGCCTGGCTTCCTTCTGTCCTGCTTTGTTTGGCACATCAATCAATCAAAGCAAAACTTGTCCCTCACGGTGCCACGGCTTCTGATCGGATCAGGTCGGCGGTGATATATAAGGTCAACTGTAGCCTTTTGAAATCCTTCACTCTGCCAGTCAACTCGGCCATCAAATTCCAAGAATAATAAAATAAAGTGAAAACAGTCGGAGAGCTCAGGCTTCATCCCAGAGCTCTGCATGTTTTATTTTTTCATAAAAAATGGAAAGGTCATCCCATCAGAGACAGACCTCAGAGCGCGACACCAGACACAATGACAAGGAAGATTTATGGGCAAATGTGGATATTTTACATTGTTGGCACTGGCATTTGGTTTACACTGTATTTTTCCTGGAGACACAGACGGACCCCTCTGATGGTTGGATCACTGATAATAGGAGTGCATGTTACAATATACACTACATCACCTTTTTGGATGGTAAATACTCTAGATGTCCATGGTCGTTTCTGATCATCAGGATCATTCAAGCAGAGTGCTGAATTAATTCACCTGATAAGGACACTGGGAGAACAGAATTAAATAGTTTAATGGCCAAACATTTGACCGTCGCTCCTCCATTTGGGCCACAGTTGTCCAAATAACCTTGTTCCTTTTTCCATCTAAATGCAAATGGACGGGTATTGAAGAAAGTGGAAACCACTGCCATTTGCTGTCTGCCCATTTGTGTGTGCACTATTGTAACCATAGGGTTTTGTTCTGGTATTGTAAGAAATGCATTGCCCTCTCACTCCTCTATGAATTTCAAGGAGGTTTCAGACGGCCCAGGACGTGATGGGAACAGTAGGTATTAATACATGTGCCATAAAAGTAATAGGAGTCTCGATGCTTTTTGTTGATGGTATCAGTGACCAGGTGTACAATGACCCATAGAAGTTTTCGCTTGCAAGGCAAAAGCAGGTTGAGGTATGTTTTTAGTGCTCTCTCTGGCACTCGAGTATTGATAGTGTCACTTCTCGCCAGTCCCACCGTAGACAGCTGTTGTGTAGGTTTTGATTTATAGTCCAGTGTCAGGTTTCACTTGTTGATAGCACCCACGCAACACTAGACAACCGTATACGTAGTCAGGCCGAGCTCTCTAAAGATGTTACTCACTGTAGTCGTGTTTGCATTTTTTATTATACTTTGACCATGTTAGTTCATACCTTGGATTAACGTGCATTTTAGGTAATCCAATCCCAAATGGACACTTGTTTTCAGGTCTCTCTTGTAAAATAACTTTTTAGGACTAGTTTAGGACTAATGTGTGAGACATCTTTAGTGAAATGTGAGAGATTATGATGATAAGATCAACAGCAAATAACAATGAACAATGAGAATTGTAAACTAATTAAAACTTTTTGGGATTTTCTTTTAAGGTTAGATTTTTAAGTATTTGAAACTGGCCAAATCCTCTCTGGAAACAAATACACCCCCCCTCGCCTCACTGTCAAAAAGTTGCCACAAAGTGAAGTGAATGTGTGGCATTTAAAACAAATGTCAACACATTTCAAGACAAAACAGTTTACATAACAGGTAAGGTTTGGTGAGTCTAAATACTCACACAAAAGACATGTCCTATGCCAACAGTGCCATGGTGACCGTCAAGGAAACTAAAGAGCTGTGTCTTCATTGATTGTGCACAGTGAACACACAGTCTGCCTCAAAATGTAAGAAAGCCAAACAGCTTTCTCTCCGGGGAAACTTGGAAAAAACTTTCTCCACAGGGTCACAAGTATCGACTTGCATTCTTGGACATAATAATCACAGATGGAGCCGCCTGTAGGGAACAACAACAAACCAAATGAAAGCACAAGTTACCTTTTGCCCGCATCCTACGAAGATAAACCGGATTAAAGGGGTAATCTTACAAAGACTACCTTCAAGTAAACAGTTGCTCAATCACATTCTGGGTTTGCTTTAACTCTGTTGGTGTTTTGATAGTGTGAGACCTGAAAAGCACCATTTCTCAAGGACCACATTCGATTACATCCTGTACTGGTTCCATAAACTCTAAAACTTGGCTATTGCATCTGTTGCTTTCTATTTGTTCTGTGTTCCTAGGCATGATTTCCCCCAAATTGACACTGGCAATTGTTAAGTTCCTTACTTTATGTGTTCCACTGAAAAACAGTACTCTCCAACGAAATGAAAAGAGAAATCTTTGACGGAAGGCAAAATAACATGAAGAGTTAAGAAGTTGCAATAATGGAAGTCTTCCCATGAGCAAGCCCCCCCCTAAACTAATTTATACCATTCTCTGGTTGAATACTCCATTCTGATTGGATGCTGGATGTCCATTAATTACCCACTAAGTTGTTCCACTGTATTCCTAAAGTGGCTCATCTTCTGAACACCACAGGATGGAGACTGTAACACACCAGCCCATACACTGCCCCTCTGAACTCACTGGTACTTTGTATAAGCGATCCTCCAACATCCCGTCGACTATTCTGCTCATTACTTTAGACTGTGGCCGTCAGTACACATGCCCTATTGTTCGTGAAAATCTGATATTGATTTTGGGACAATGATATCTAGTCTTGTTGGTTCTGGCCTCCATGTCATCCATTAATTTCTGATAATGGGCAAATCGTAGGACATTATCCCGTACATAAAGCTCATAGATAACATACATAACCTGTAGGAGTCCCAAAGTGAAACCGACACTTGTAACAACGGTAATACCTAATTACAGTTTTGGAACCTCTCTCGACAATATGTTTTGTGGCTCATTTCACATAAGATAAGGACAGCAGTGTTTTAGAAAATCATCTATTATTGTTTATTTAAAGCTGTTTTTAGCAACCTTTAACGAACACCATCAATGAAAAGCCCTAGTCCTTCACAGGCCAGACGTCACAGCTTGACAGAGAAGGCGAGTCCATGCATGGGCGAGTCTAGGGTGGCAGTTAGTTCAGACCATTGACAGTATATATAATGGACAGAGCTTGCAGGTCTGTCAAGTGAAGCAAACATGGAAGTGTCTTAAACCTGCATTCTATGTAAAGGCCAGCAGGGGGCAGTTCCATTGGCTGCAATAAAAAAAACGATATCATGGAGAAATTAGCCGACTTCTGACTTGATTTATTAGCTCGGCAAAAAGTTTAATAATGTGTTTATGGTCTTAAAAGCTAGTTTCAAGTCTTCCATACAGCATGTTGTTCATTCAGCAAACTATGGTCCAATTTAGAGCAAAATAGAGAATAAAGCAGTACATCATTGACAAACTGTCATGGCCATGACAATAATGCCAAACTCGAGGCTTAAAAACGGTACCCACAAACCAATGGGTGACGTCATAATAGGTTCACACTTGGTTCAGACCGAAGATGTATAACAAAACCTTGATATGACGCCGCCGCTCAGCCTTGCTTCCAATTCGCGGTGTTGCAGTGAAAAATTCCCTTCTGGCCCAAAAAGCGTTTTCCCCACCATTACAAAAGAACCTTGAACTGCAAACAAGGTCAATTATTTGATCCATTGAGATTTTATATTGTTTTTTCCTCAAGCCAAGAAAAGGGATTTAAAATCTGTGATATCATCAGGATATAAAGTCTATGAGCCGAATGGAAAATCGCAGACAGGGCCAAAGAGAGAAACGCTACCACACATATTCATTCGTCCGCATAGTCCCGCAAGTCAAGCTGAAAGCTAGAAACAAGCAGTTCTTATTGGACTGTATAGGAACCATATGTTGGGTCTAGTATCCAAATCTTACAATAGCTAGTGCTAATCCTAATCACTATAGCCAGACAGATATTTTGGGAGTAAGCAACATTCCCAAGCCATTTAACCTCTATATTTTCCTACTGTACAACACATTGTTCCATTTAATTATGATGTGTTGTAAAGATAATCAGTACATGCCTGCTGAGAAAATTAGGTCTTACCTCATGAAACTAGGCCTGTAGTCAGCTTTTTTTCCAGAAAATAATCAGGTCCTCTTCTGGGTCTCTACCTATTTCTCTGCTGAGAACAGTAACTTAGCAAGCTAGTTGATTTGACTGACATTTTAGGCAAACATAAGCGTGTGAAATGGTTGGAAAAGGTATGTTAGCTGATATAGCTCTAACTTTTGTCAAAGAAATTATCTACAGGGATGATAATAAACCTAAAGTTTAAACCCAGCTGAACACAATTCCCCATAATGAGTTTCATAGTCACACTGATGACTATCACTAATAACTCATAAAAAAGATCATAAGTTTCAAATTCTTCGTGGTAATAGCTGTAAACAAAATAAACTTGTATATCTGTGATAGCATTCCATAAATATGAAAGAGCATAAGTGATTAAATTGATGTATACAACACGATGTGCTTTAATAGTTTGTAAACAAACAGAAAATGCACAAGAACAGTCATATTTTGTTGTTTTGAAGCCTTTAAATTAGTCTCCAGTTATTTGTGCAATTACACAGACACCTTTTTCATTCATACCACATTTAGCTGTATTATATATATATAAAAAACCTCTTTGACTATGAAAGACAACAGTCCTAAATGAAAAGGACAACAAAGCCTTTATGGCAGCAAATGAACCTCACAAGATTTTAAAAAGTGGCTATAGAGTTATGCTGCATGAATAGGAAATATTGCACATAGATAAAAAGGCTCTTGGGATGACATCATTATTAATTAAGTGACAGGAAGGAGCAGACGTTTGTGAAGATTAGTCGAGCAAGGTGGAAGGGTACAGATATCTGTCTGAAGCTGTCTACTGAACAGTTAACACTCCCCTCAACCATAACTATCAAAGTACTTCATTACCAGCAAGCACTCAAAAAGTAAAAAAAAAATAATAATTATATCAGACAATATATATTAGTTATATATCAGACAATAATCTTGAAAAAAAATAATCTCTAATTGACATCATTTAATACAGACCTGGCATTAAAAATGGAAAGTAGCACATCAATTTTAGAAATGAAGAAATTATTTGTTGAACTGATTTGGCCAACTTTCCACATCCCTACAAGGTCATCAATCATTAATTCAGTGTTATAACAAAAGTCAGTCAACTTAAGAAAAACATGCAACAAGACATGAGCGTATTTCAACATAATCATCAATTTATGTGTAATGAGACATTGCTTTCCAGCCACTGAAAACAGCCAGATCCAATCACAAATAACATCATATTCAAGTCTTTATATACAGTAGCATACAACTCAAATATCTGATAAGAGAAACAGCAATGTTCCTGATGTTTTACCTGTACAGTGAGGTCAAGTTGTATCACTAAGAGAGCTCATAATTTTTGGCATTTTAGGAATGAACAGTGCAGAAGTCTACAGAAATAAAAATATCTTCATACTGAAGGTATTCAGGGGTAAAAAATGTTGGACTATAAGTTGATTTTCCACGAGTCCATTTTCAATCAAATCAGGCAAATTAATTTAAAAAAGGAAAGAAAAAAATAGGTCTTCATTGTTTTCATTTGGGACTTTATTGACCTGAGACTTGACTTGGGACTGAATTGTCTGGACATGAAATTTACTTTTCATAATGTGGGACTGAATATTCTTGACTTGGGACTTGAAACTTCAGGGTCTTCAAGGGTCCAAAACTAAATCTACCCAAACAGGTAAATTCATTAAGAAATTCATTGGTTTTTTTTTTGTCATGGGACTTTATTGTCTTGACTTGGGAGATGGGACTGAATTGGACACGGAACACAATTTTTATAACGTGGGACTCAATCGTCTAGACTTGAGACTTTTCTTCTGGGTTTCAAAACTATGACTTCGACTGGCAGCTGTATGATGCTCCACCAGTTAACTCATCATTACGGCTGACCCACCGTTGGATCAGAGCTGATAGAGAGTCCTTTCTGATCCACTCAGGTATTAAGACATATTGACAAATGGACTCGAGACCCGTACAATACGGTGGCACCCGACCCGATTAGACTGAATATAACTCCAGGACCCAGTCCAACTCTGGTCCTGGTTTATGTTTCGATCAGTAGGAATCAAGTGAACCCTTGAAGACCTCGAATCTCCAGTTCCTCTGACTGAACAATTGAAAACAAAGCACTGTTTAAACACTTTGGAGACCATAAATCTAAAACAAAGCTGATTAAGGTAATGTGATTACTGTCCAATAGAAGTACTAGTACTAGTAATGTACTGATTGTTTTACTTTACTTTTAAAACTAGACACTCCATTAATTTAATTTATTCTTTTTGAGGTATATGTACTGTATCATCTATCACTGTACAGGTTTTTACTGCTGGTTCTGCTGGTAAATAATAATCAATAATATTTAAAAGCTAAGACAACGAGACGTGACAAAAGCATGATTGTTCAATTAAGAGCATTTAGGATTCAATACAATAAGGCATTGCTTTAATGAAAACATCTGGACAAACAGTTCACAGTTTTAATTAATGCTTGATTGACTAGCGATTATGATGTCCTTTTTAGTACTTTGATTGTTTCGGTCAACACATGGACACAAAACTACGACCTATACGCTCCTCAGCTCCGACACGAGTACCTGATATGTAGAGATGGAAGCAGCTGGCCAATCACTACCCGAGCAGAGTGGGCGGGGGAGGGTCATCCTCGTGGATGACAAAGCAAGGAAATATGGGAACAGAAATTAAGCTAATTCCAACAACCATCAGGCTCCTTTTTCACCTGTGGAATTACTTCTGAGACTGAAGCTGCCAATCGACAGTGGTAAAAGGTTGTTTCATACACGTTCATTCTATGCTACAAGCACAGTTAAAAAAGAAAAAATACTCCCCATACACATATTACATCCACATATTATGCAGACATCTGTGGAAATAATATCAATGTGGGATCTTTGCCTTATCTAAAATTAAAATTACTAATTGAGAATCCATGATAGATTCCAGGTGGGATAAAAAAAACATAACATAATGCCAAAGGGCCAGCTTTTCTTGTTTTAATGCTGCTAATATAGCCTATTTACAATCATCTATTGTATGCAACAGAAATAGCCTCTGTTTTCACTAATAAGCTGATATGTTCTGGCCATTTACCAAAGAAGAAGAGTCAAATAAATCAAACAGAAAAAGGGAATTCATTAATTGTGCTTTTTAACCCACAAATCCACTTCATCATTGAAATGGGACAATTTTAAGAGGCACCACTTCAAGTGCTTACATCAGTCAATGAGAATCTCTAAAGCTATAACAAGGACTGAAAATACAAATAGTAAATATAGTATATTTATATATTTATAAAGTTGATACAATTCCCTTCCAGTCCCATGTCCAGTTTAAAAAATAAGTTCTTCATACTGTCAAAAGTCTGACATGAAGGATCCCTCTTTGTGTCAACGCGCAAAGCCCTTATGATGTTCTAAGAGAGAAATGTCTTTGCCAGGGTTGATTCTGGATGACACAGGAAAGCTTGTGCTAAAAAGCAGGAAGAGTTTTAATGTAGGAGGTTGTTTTAATAAGAAGACAGAACACCTCTGCTGAGGAGACTTGCTGACTTTGGAGATTTCTGTTGACGTCTGTGATGTCTCCGGAATCCTTCAGCTAACCACTCTGCGGTTAAACAGTTACCTCGTTCTTACTGGCAGTGCGGTATGTATGGTGGTGGCCAGGAATGTACTGTAGGTGGTCCACCGTGTGTGTTCGTCGGGAGGCAAACGCCTGCCTCTTAGACGTAGACGCTTGGTGGTTGACTGTCAGCGTGTTGTAGGAGTCGTTAGAGGCACTGGGCTGAGAGTGCATCTTGGTCATCTTGTGGCGGTCCATGACAGGCGTGACGGGCATCAGCATGTCGGCGTGAGACATCGCCCGTGCCATTGCCTTCTCCCGGAACTTGTCACGCCTCATCGCCGGAGACAGCAAGGGATCCTGGGAGTGGAGGCGATCCGCTGAGAGTAGCTGCTCCTCTGAGAGGTGGCGGCTGCTGCTGTACGCGGCGGCCGCCATAACGCCATACGAAGATAAGCCATAGTCCCCGCGACGTGGCGTCCTGGGAGGAGACAGGACGTGGTCCTGGGACATGGCCCTCTGGACTCGGCGAGGACGCTGCCGCTGCTGGTGCTGCTGGTGCTGCTGGTGCTGTTGGTGCTGTTGGGGATCTGCATTCAGCTTCACCATGTGGGTCGGTCCTCGGCCGCCGAAGTCAGGATGATGATGCTTCCTTGTGTAGTACTCATCTATGTCCTTATCGCCTGAGGAGCAACAAGACAAAGATAATCAGAGAGAGAGTGCTGTCCAGTTACTTTCCATATTTCCTAACACTCAACCCTAGACTCACAGTAGGGTAGCAAGACTAAATATGTAGTGGTCTTGTGTCATGATGCAGTTTCAGGGGCCCATTTCACCAAATTTGCTGTTAATTTTGACACATTTCAGTAATCAAAGCAACCCATGCATGAGCATGCAACAGTCCTGTACTTGCAAATGTATCTGCAATTTGTGAGCACTGATCATTTGTGAAAAGTGAAGTTGCCACAATGGGAAATCTCAGATATCTCACAAATCCCTTTTGTGAAATGGGCCCTAGGACAACAAGGTCTTCCTCAGATTCCTTAGGTTCTGTTCAAATACCATCTCCCAGAAGAGGGTAAAGAAATTATGAAGTTACTTTTTTCCTGTTTCCAGTGGCATATTCTTGGAAGCTTCCAGAAAAGATGTCTGGCCAGCCTCAGGACTTAATGCCAAGTTTCCCCTTGTAGCTGTAGCTGCGTGTACTCAGACAACATCACAGTTGACTCACAAGCTGATCAATTGGAAACTCTGACCCTTTAATGGAAAAACTGGCCAGCCAGCCTAAGCTGGGATTTAGACCAAAAACAGCTCTGTGTTAGCACAACGCAGGGGGCTACATCAATGGGAAGGTGTTGTTTAAGGTACTGGTGAGAGAATGAAACGTGATCCAGGAAATCCACTTAATTAAAGGCTTATCAGATGTAAAAACAGTTTTAATACTCACAGACAAGATACAACTCTAGAAAGGTATCAGGGGAAAAGGGACATATGAAAAAGGGACACCTGTGGTAATACTGACGTATTAGAAGTAGAAGTACTGCTTCTCAACATGTTTTTGTTGGTATCAAAATGTACTTACTCCCGCTTATGGGAATAAACCAGGCCAGACCAGAGTACAAGTCGACTATTACAACATTTGTCAACCTAATATATGTAGTTATAAATGTAAACATACTGACTGAACAAGAGTGGTCGAAGAGCATTAGGGAGGATACATTTGTCCCACACCAGTCTTCTGTTGAAGGGATGCTGTGATAATGGAAACATAGTAGTTGGAGAGTCCTATTCAAACTGTTTTGAATTGTTTTGTCCTTTTTTAATCGTGAACAGAACCAGCCTCTCATCAGTGAAGTTATCCTTTGGTGTTGAGGACTCACCAGTGTGCAAATATACTTAACAATTCATGAGTTGCTTATGCCTTAACACACAACCAGTTGTTTCAGTCCTCTGCCGGTCGGTCTCTCCACTGAGGGCACACATGCTCCTAATGCTAAAGTCATTTACGGCTGTATTAACCGTAGGCCGCAATCAGTTCTCGGCAGACTTTTATCTACCTGTTTTTGGCAGTGCTGGCACACAGGGGGACTCTACCACAGAAGCTCTCTGATTAACTGTTGTGGCTGAGGGGTCGTTACCTCTGCAGTAGTTAATTATTGCAGAACACAGAGGTCGAATGGCCGTTTTAGGACCAAAACACGCTTCACCAACTCGTGGAGAAGAGGGATGATGGGAATTGTTTGTCTGGATGCTCGGCTCTCTGGGAGAGATGTCATGCCTGGATACAGAAGGTCACCTTATTGTTCCTCCATCAGGGGTTTCATGTCTACTGCTCTGTGCATTCCTAATGAAGGAAGCCCAACTTTGGCCTGTGGCGATGTGCTCCAGCATTTCTCCCTGAAGGGTTGGTTTAGATGTGACATTATGGCGGAAAATGTCAACCAAACTCAACCAGAGGCTACACCTATACAGACAATCGACAACCCGCGGTCCATTGCTTCATCAATAGGTCAAATTTGAGGATCCAGTCACTCTGAGAGATCGGTAGTGTTTATACACTCAAATGTTAATGTGAGAAGAATGTATTATGTCCTGCTATGATAAGAAAAGACACATACCACAAATTCTCGTATAATAAGGCAGGTTCCAGATAAAATCAAGGGGCTTGGCTGACAGGAATAAATTAAAATCAAGTAAAAAAACAATGGGGGAGGGTGGGGCTCAAATGTCGCTCTTAAGTCTTCGAATACTGCGACTGTTATTTCAGAGAAGTGGATAACAGGTTTCTTGGGTTTACACCCCACATCACCCCTGCTCCTTAGCTCTCCAACATTCAAACAGCTAGCTAACTAGCTAGCCAGCTAACCTATTTAGCAGCATAGGAAAGGGCACCAAAGCATGTAAGTGGTAAAGCCCGCCTCTTGCTTGATTTGATTGCCTGTCTGGGCCAAGTGGGACATTGACGAGCAGCACAAGTCTGCACCTTGCGCTGAAAAGCTGTAATGTTCTTTACTTTTATGTGCGTCTAAAAACTGCTAGAAAACCACAATGCACAGCGCAAGAGAAGAGCACACGTCAGGCGTGCCAGGAAACAATGGTTTTGCAGACGATGCGTTTCTAGCGATGCATGATTGACCCCTAAGTTGGGTACAGTTTCTGTTCCAAAATAGTAAAATATTCTAAAAAAAATAAGGGGCTTCTGCTGAGGTAAATATGGACTCTATCTGAGAATTTACTGTAATATTAATTTCAATAAAGAGTTTTCCTGTTTTAATATGCTCAACTACAGTACACCTGCACTTCTTCCTCTCGAACTGCCTTTACAGCCATTTGATTTAAGACTGGCTTTTTATGAGTGTACACTTGTTACGCTGTTTACACTTTAAGTGACTGAAATGATTTAACAGGGGCGATGCATATTGCTCGATCTCATCTCTGCGGTGCTGATAAAATGCAGCACTTTACAATTAACATGATTGCGAGAGGCTAAAGGGTCCCAAACGTGGAGCGGAGCTACAAACACAGGAAATTGCTAACAACGGCTAATTAAACCCCTGCTCCCACTCTGCTAGATTAGATTCAATATAGCCGGTATATTTATGTGTCAGCTATTGATCACAGAAGCCTGTAATCATATAATGCACTAGAACCTGTGAAACTGGTGGAACATCAATTATAAAGTGATCTTTAGAGAGGTTTGGAGCAGTAGCAGTGAAATTAACGTGGGTAAATGCAACCATATCGTTGAACTTTTTTTCTTTTTGGAATCAAAGGTGCTTGTTTGCTGCTGGAGGTGTTTTGAAGCCTTTTAGGGTGATTAAGGCGAAAGACAACAGAGCCAGATAAGATTTGTTTCTCCTTTTCGCAACCTCCTTGGAGTAGCTGAGCGGGTTACTTGAGGGCAGCGTCCTCAATCTCTGCCTCGTTGACACTGAAGGACGGGTGGGATGGAAGAGACACACTGCGCACACACACGATCATTTAAACTTGCAAATAAACCATTTTGATTTAATTTAGTCATCATCATCTCTCCAGATGGTTTAATTAAAATAGCAACTAATTATATTTCTTTTAGGCTTGTTTCCAAAGACCTCACTCATGCTTAAACCTACAATTTAATTAATTTTTTCTTTTTTTTTTTATCAAGTGGAAGGGCTTTTTTTCAAGGGACGACTTTGCATGCTCGTTTGACAAATTCCGGAGGGCTCCTGTCTCAAATTCGAAAAGCCTCTTTGTAGTTCAGTGTGATTCATCTCTGTGATTTTCTGTGTGTGTACAAGGCTCCAGCGAGATAAGAGCAAAGCCCCGAGTTGTTAAGGGAAAGAAAAGGCAAAGAATGTTGAATTCGCTGAAAGGAGATTGCACCGATGCATGTTTTTTTTTTAATCACACAATGACCAATGACACATTTAAATGCCTTTCTCTCTGTGTGTAACTTATCTTAAGAGTCAAGGACAGTGAACAGTGCATTTGAAAATCTGCTGAAAATAATTAGCATAATTAAATAGTAGTTTTTTTCTTATCGTTATTTAGGAGCATAGTGTTTCAATTTGAAAGCATGACTCATTGACTACATGTTTCGATTTTGTAATTCTTTCCATCAAAACCCTTCTTGGTGGAACAGTTTTGAAAGTCGACACAGGCATTGTGTAGAACGGCTGCAATCGTCTCCAGCGGCAGCCAGAACACGTTGCAGCCAAGCGGCAATCTCCATGCCTGGCAAACGTAGTCAGCATGGAAGTAAAAAAAATAAGTTTCTCAAATGGCCACTTGAGGCAGGCTTCAGGAGTGAGTCAATCTCTATAAGGCCCCATATTAAAACGCCCAACTTTACAGCAGAAATAAACATGTTTATAGCCTCGTACGACGAAAACGGTTTTGGTCTCTATAGCTAATGTTCCTGTACGGGGGATGAGCGCACGTTGTGATGTTAAAGACGGAAGCCTTAGCTTTCCAGTGCAAAAAGAATGAAAATACTAGCTTTATAGTTTTTATTTTTGGTTGATTTAAACAGGATAATAAAACGGCTGCCCGTGGGAGGTCTGCTTTTAGAGGGTTAAGGGTCTATGGTCACAGTCGTGCCCGGTGGAATCAAGCAGTTAGAGTGCCCCTTACGGGTGGTTACACTTTCACCGGGTTCATCCACTCCCACTCTTCAAGGCTCACAGAAGCAGCCTGAGTGCGAGAAGAAAGGCTGAAGCTTGAGCGCAGGAAATCTGTGTGAGCTACAACATATATGTGACTGCAAGCATACAGTTCGAGCAGAAGCAGAGAAACTCTAGCAGGAGCTGTTTGAGTGTGAGGGCACAAAAACTGAACTCAATGAATCAAAGATGCTCTTGAATAAAGATTGAAAAAGCCCCATAATGCACTCGGTATATGGATAAAGAGCTCTGCAGTGTTTACGCTGATAAATCGATGGAAACCCACAGTAACACCTTGAGGCTAGAGGAAATGTTTTAGAAAAGATTTACTGTCAACACATCTATTAAATGTGATAGCTCACAACATTATACACTAGCAGGCATCCTGTGTGTTTCCACTGTTCAGCTTTCACTCGACTGAGAAACAGGCAACATGACGGCACACTAAGCAGCACACATTCAGTGTCTGTTTACTTGAGCGTATTAAAAAGAAGTCTGAAGGCAAAAGCTGTGAGAGAAAAAAAACTACGCCGTTCCATTAGTTCACTGATTCAGAGTCAGACGAGGAGACGAGTCCAGCTGCAACCGAAGCGTCCCTCTCCAGTGATCTCATCGCTCCAACTCTAAATTTTAAGCGGTTCATCTCTAAAACTGATGCATGAAAAATGGATGGTCTCAAGTGGGGGATCTGAAGTGGAAGTAGTCAACTAAAAATGGTGGATTTTATTAAGTATTTTTGTTCCTTTGTACTTTAAAGGTTCTGTTTGAACCGCATTTGCAAAATCCTCTAGAGCTCGCCATCAGTTTGGAACAGAAGAGAGATAAATGAACCCAGAGCTCTCTGCTTTTCATACACTTTGGTGTTATCCGAACAGAACATTAGGATGAAAGAAAGAGCGATCCTGTTGATTCAGACTTAACACTATCTGTGTTACAAGTGTTTTCATTATACTGCGAACCAGGATAGAACAGAGCATCAGGCCCTCTGCATCTATTACTTATCTCCAAGCTGCCTTTTACAAACTTCAGTCACCATTTTACCAATTAAATCTAACCTTGAATGCCCCTAAAACTCATTCGTAACCTTCTAAATCATTCTCATTTTATACAAAAGGAAGGCTGGATAACATTACTTTTCAAACAATGCATACTTTACTCAAACGTTTTGGCAGGATGATTAATTAAATCATTAAGGTGATAACCTTGTAACTATAGTTACCAAATTCATGCTATAAAATCCTGTGTTTTTGCTTTCACACCCGAGATGTTTTGAGGTGATCCCGGTCCAGTTGTTGGGCTGTACCAGAGTTTGTGTGTCAGCTTTCAAACCAGCTTAAACGAACAGAACCAAACAGGTTGGCATCCTTAATCTTATGTTTTGAATGTTGGATCACAAATTTGTCACCATCACTAGGTTTGAGCGCATGCTAGGCCAAAACAAGTATCTGGTACAGATAATGGACTTTCTGTATCATCAGATTAAAGTGTGTCAATATCCCTCCTTCAGCAACTTGTTCTTCCCTTACACTTGTTATCAAAAATGTTGCTCTACAGCTCAATTGTGAGGCTGGTCTGTAAATAGGTTTATTATAAATATAGTAACTTTGAATCAATTTCTTTCTTAAATGACCAATGTGTGGGATTTAGTGGCATCTAGCGGTGAAGTTGCAGATTGCAACTAACTGAACACCACTCACGTCTGTATTTGACGACCAACGTAAGCACCGCCCATTACGAGTACAGAGACAAATAGAGATAATTTAGTTGTTTGAACAGATCCAATCGATGGTGTACTCGCTCATCCCTGCTGTATATGTGTAAACCTTACAACAAATACAGAGGGAGATTCATATGTATCTTTTCATCTCAAAAGCCATTTTGGTAAACGTCCTATCTACTTCCATAAAGTGCTTCCTCCTGTTTCAAACAGCTATCACAGCAGATAATCTTCAGTGTCCCCAGGTCTGTCCTGAATTTGGCAAAACTGCATTTTTAACACTGAACACCTCGGGTTGGGAATAATTTACTAAATAAACTGAAGTTGCAAACACTGCCTTCCTATTAGGCATTCAAACGCCACATTCAAAACATGTTATGAAGACTGCAACTGTTTTCTTTCATGCCTCATTTGTTCTGTCTTACTGTGCTATACGTTGCAAATTAATTGAAACGTTGCTGCATTTCGGCTTGGTTTGTTTTATAAAAGGGTACATGTATCTCAAGAGACTCCCTGGTTTAATAAAGGATAAATCAATAAAACATGCAACTACTTTAAAGCAAATAGGCATGCTCAGGTCATGATGTCAAAACGGCAGCATCATCGAGATGAAAATGTCACAGCGAAGATAATGAACTGTAGCAGTGCTGAGATATTAAAGCGCCATCTTGTTGGCGTATAGAAGCCATTCAGCTGAAAAAAAAAAAATGCTTTTAATATGTCATTAAGAGACATTAACAACATGACATGGGCTGCAGATGGAGCCAAATTACACGCCAATTAGATGTCAGTCGATGGGCCGACAGATGAATCGATGGGAATGAGTATGGAGGCTCTAGCGCGTCGTCATGCATTTTAAGAAGTTTATTTCCCTAAAAAAGGTGAAAAAGTGAGAGGGCTATCTGCATGATGAGCCACCAAACATCTGGTGATAGTTATCATGATGCATGTCTCTGTAATGGACATTCGGATGTTTCATCAGGCCAGACGTGGTGAATGTGGCGACCCTTTAATGCACAGGGCATGAGGGTGACGTCATTCTCTGTCTTTCTTTCTTTTCTTTTTTTTTTGGTGCATCAGGCAGAACACGGCGATGAAGGACAAATGAAGGACCACCTACTTAATCTGTGGAGTGAGGAGGAGTATTTACTTAAGTCAGACTTGAGGGCCAGCTCGTAGGAGGGCGGCAGATGGCTGAGGTTCTGGAAGGATCTGGAGAGGGACAGGTCGTAGGGCTCCGTGGCTGAGGTCAGGATGTTGTTCATCCGCTGGGGTCTCTCTACAGGGGACAGGGGAGGAAGCGGTGCGGTGCAGTCAGTGTACAGTCAGTCAAAACGATGGGTTTACACACTGGGAGTCTTTACTGGAGGAGAGAAAGGGAAGCAGGTAGAGAGGTCGAGGTGTGATGTAGTGAGAAGAGTGGATTTCAAGGTGATACCCTTTGCTGGAGGATTTTTAGCTTTTAGGGAAACAACGGATGAAATGCGTGGTTGCATTTTCAGATATATGACAGTTTGATTTCACCTGATCCATTGGAGCTGCAGCTACCTACTGTGGTTGGGGGTGACTTAGTGCTATGACTAAATGAAAGCACTTCTAATGGCATTTACAAAAACCCACCGGGCCTGGACGGAAACAACCTGTTGGAGCAAAGAAAGATATAAAGACACTTGAATTTAATTGATTATTGGGTCTAATTCTCATTCCCAAGGCGTCAAATACAGATTCTTTGGGACCGTGAGACTCAACAATGAACTATCTCTCTTGGCTCTGATTGGTTGTTTTCGTTCGGGCCTGGTGGATTCTTGCAAATGCCATTAGGAGCACCAGGAGGAGCCAGAGGAACCAGATTTTTTTCTTATGTTCTACTGTCAGGATATAGTGAATGTTTTAGCGAAAATGACCTACTGCAGTGTTTCCATCCACTATATTACTATTATTGTTATTATTATATGTTATATATTGTTATATTATAATAATATCTTATATATTATTATAATATAACAATATATAAGATATTATCTATTGTATGTATATCTTCTTGTATAGTCGAATATCTAATATACATATGCTATTTATCATATCATATCTTGTGTGTATATATATATGTGTACATATTATATATATATATTTTGTATACATATTACAGTATGTATGTATGCACACCTTGCACAGGCTGAATGCATACGACACATGTTTACATTATATCAATATTAATGTATAATATCTATGTGTATACATGTATATCTGTTCAGTCATCATATTATATATACATATTATTATTATATCATTATAAATATTATGAATATAATCATTATATAGCCTACTGTTATTATTATATACTGTTATTAACAATAACACTACCATCATGTCATCAGTACTATTACCATCTTGCAACTAAAAACTAAAAACTTTGCACCTTACCTAGCTTTTTATCTTTTATCTTTTTTTTATATTTTCTATCCAAGTATTTTATTCTATTGTTGTATTTTATTCTATTGTATTTCATTGTATTTTAATGTACCTGGTTGCTATAACAACCCAATTTCCCTTCGGGGATTAATAAAGTTGAGACTATTACGAGTTGGTTCAATGATTGACAATGGGTGGTGCTAATTTTCCAGTTGGGTAAAATCATTAAATGAGTGCGGTAAAAAAACAATATGTGACAATGTGATGGAAATATGGCATTTCTGTTTATTTTATGTATTAATGTAAGGAATGTTAGTCCTCTCATTGTTCCACAGATCTGATGCCATTTCAGTGTGGCAGATTACAAATGTGCATAAGAACAGGTGGCTTGTAACTCATTGTCCTTCCTGTGTTTGTACATTTATTAAAGTCATTAACCTATACCGCAAAAAATGTGCTAATTCTAAAATTTGGCACGCCTTTCCCTTAAACTTGCACCAACCCATCTGTTCATGTGTTCATTCTGTGTGGTTCTTCAGCAACTTTACTCCCTCTAAAGTTCGCTTGCTTGCTTTTCTATTTTGATGTAAATATGTTTGGAGTAGTATTTTTTGGGTATATCCATGTCCAGTTAAGTTCCAGTGTTACTTACATATGTTTGGGGAATTAAAATTGAGCGTCAGCCTGAAGACGCTTTAAGGGACAGCAGTTGTGAGCACCACCAACCAGCAGGAGGCGTCTGTGCGATATCTACAAGTAACATAGAACCACGACAGCCACAACAGTGGGACCTCAGTCCTATCCTGACACAGATTAATTTATTTTTTGGAGGATAATCTAGATAATGTTAAAACTAAATTGTACAAGAAAAGTTTAAATTATGAGGTAACATGCTCGGATGCACTGATGAAGGAGGCTAGACACTATTTAATTCAACGCTAAATTTAACGCCTTACCAATGAAGAACTGACTATAGACAGCATTTAGTACCTGGAGTCTGGTGACTTTCCCCCTGGGCATTTCAAGGTTATTCTGGAATCTTGATGAGTCGAAGCATCAATAAAATGTACTAATCTGTGCTTCTTTGCCTTCACACATTCTGACTCAGCTGCAAACTGCATCTGTTGACTGCGTCTAAGCAGCTCAAGTGACGCTTGGTTCATTGTGAAATACCACAAATAACAGTTCTGTTTGTGATATCAGTGATATGTGTGGCACCGTTAAGGCTCCCTGCACTGTGCGGAGCTCCTGTGGCTTCAGTATTTGGGACGCCCAGTCATGGGTCAGGAGGCGCAGCGGGTGGGGAGGGTTGGGATACGGGCAGGGACTCTGGTGCTGGATTTAAAAATAGGACGGGGCGACTACTGCAGCAAGGAGGACAGGGACACACAACACTAAGGAACATATGGTGTAGAGGGGAGACATTCACCGAAAAGAGAGTGTGTTGGCATGTGTGTGCGTGTGGGGAAGATAGAGCTGGTTAGGTGGAGTGAAATAGAAAACATAATGTGTGAAGAAAAGATTTTGCTATTGGACTAAAGGTCATGGATTACAATGCAGCGGCGTGAAGTTTTGTGAATGCAAAAAATACAGAAGCGCTTAGAAAAAGAAAGAAAAAAAGAGAATTAAAAAAAATGTCCCCCAGTGTGCAGGTAAAGAACTCTGATCTCTACATGATATATGTGAAAGAATAGGTGAAGAAAAGAATACACATAAACACCATGTGTATGTGTATTACTTACCGTATCTCATTTGTCTGTGGGCTAACAAATCCAAGTGAGAAAGAAAGGATCAATAACAATCAATGTGCACAGCATGTTTCAACCAAACCTCCCATACTAGAGGTTGCCCTTGTTCAAAGCCAATATTGCAAGAATGTCCAAACCAGAAACTCTTGAATTATGCAGAACAGCTACGATCCTCGTCGGAGGCTAAATAGACTTCAAAAGCGCTGTTTGAAGAGTTTTATTTGGTGCTGAAAGTACTTTTGAAACCCATTTTCCCAGTGAGAAGGCCGTCCTGTTTAAGAGGCAGACGAGAACGGGCAGAATGTGGACTGCAGCGCTGCATTAATGCTGAAAAGGTTTGTATAATAACTCCACGACGATCTCAGCCTTAACCTGAAAACCCTGACACAAAACATCAACCTCTGCAGTTTTTCGGAATATCAAAGAGGGGATTTTTTTGTATCAAGTAAGGCCAGACTCCCTCTTTAATTACACGGTGTTTCATTTCATTGCCGTTTAGACGCAGGAGCGTTCAGTAATTCCACACTGAAAGCTGCTCTCCTTTCACAGAAAATTACATTTAGAGAAATAGATGGGATGCAATAACAGTAATTGGGCTTTCAATAACTCCAGCAAACTGTGCAGATGATCTTTTGATTATCATACACTCTTTTTGCTTTTCATTTTCTCTGAGGACTTCTTTATCAGCTCCTCAGATTTTAATTTCCCTGTGAAAGATATACTTTTGTCCTTCAAATTGGAAATAGAATTGTTTGCCTTACTTTCATTTAGAGACAGATAATAAAGAATATCATTTTGGAAAGTCGGAGTAACATACAGAGAATGCTAATTTTAGCATTGAAAAGACACAGCATGGAGACATTTTGTAATTTTTCCGGCATGCATTCCAAATGTAAATCTCTATTATAGGTTTACACAGTGATTTTTTTTTTAATCACATGTAATGTCACATCTACTGTTAAAGGACCAGTGTGTAGGATTAAGTGGCATAAAGCCTTCAAGGTGCGGTGAAAGAAACTACGGTGGCCCCTAAACTTGTAATCTAGAGCCAGTGTTTGGTTTGTGCTTTCTAGGCAACTGTAGAAACATGGCGGTTCAACATGGCTGCCTCTGTAGAAGAGGACCCACTCATTCCAAGGTTACGAAAACAGACTTTAATATTCATTGGTGTGTTTTCATTAGTGTATAATCACATTAAATTAATAATTATTCCATTTCTGCTAATAGATCCTTCTAAATGTCACACACTGGACCTTTAAGGACTATACACATTACTGTGTCTTCTTACCCAGTTTAGGTGTGAGCGCAGTCAGATCCAGGTGGCTGTGCTGGTAGTCATGGTGGTGGTTTCCTATTGTAAGAAGAACAAAGAGTTAATTTCAACATGCGTGAGAGGGAAAATCTTACTGTGTGTAATGCCTTTAATAGTTGACGTTAAAATGTAATTTCAATCAAATCACAGAGAAACATATTTTCCCTCGTGACCTTTGTGCTATCTGGCCACTTGGTTGGTTTCAGTTGCTCAGTCTTTGAGATATCGTCTGCAGCCCTGATACCCCCACAGTCTGCAGTCTATTTGTTTATTATGTGATTCAAACACTCTGAACTGGCCAACTGTCGGTACTGTAATGGCAACCTGTGGCCCTTCTCCAGTGGCTCCCTGTGCCTTTGACAAAAGATTATATAGAGATGAATACCGGTTATTTTTTAACACTTTATTTATCAGTACATCAAATAAAAAACAACTAAAATGCAGATTATACTTAGCACATCCATCCTGACCTTGTGCCTTTTCCTCTATATTTGGCCAAACTTCAATAGTGGTGACTACTAGTCTTAAGTCTCCCCAGCTAGACTCACTATGGATTCCAAATCCAAAAAAAGGGAGAGAAATTAGCATTATGAGGCTGTTTTATGGTTCCAACTGATTTCTTTTTGGCCAAAAATGGCTCTTTTGATAGTAAAGGTTGCTGAATGAACCTGTCCTGCCTTGATAATCCTCACAGCTTGCTGATTTTCTAGATCATGGGCGAGTGGCTGAGGAATGTGTTTTGGTGTCTGGTGAACTGACACTTTTTAAAGAAAGTCCCTTTGTGAGTTCAGCACAACAAAGCACAACCCTGTCTCAGTCGGATTTTCCATCCAGTCCAGTCAGTGTTTGGCAGTTCCCCAGATACGAGTGTGTTGATTTGTTCACTGTGTCTCAAGTAAGCAGTAAACTGTCACGGCTCAGTTATGGGACCTTGAGTGTTTCTTCCATTTGACAGAATCCACAGCGAACCGCTGCTTTGCCCAAGTGATTGATTATAGCCTCTTTATACGGGAACATGGAAGCAGCTACACCTCGTGGTGATCCATCTTTGTTGTTAGTGAGCCATTTGATGTTGCGCTAATATCGTTATGTGTTGTTTGAGTGGTTAAAGAACAAAGCCACATCATTGGAGACCTCCATCACTGAGCAGCAATGGGACTTTAAATAATTTCAGAGAGTGAAAATATGGCCTTTATTCAATTATGCCTGGTGTTATTGAACAGCATACAAAACATGGATATGGGATTGTTGTACCTTATTTGCATTTAAATATGTTCATCTATCTTGCTATAAGAGAGCTAAAGACAATAAAAACACAGCTATGACAGCTTAAAACTACATATATGAGCTCTTTAGAAAGCCTTGAATTGACGAGAGGGGTTGGGTTCTGCTTTTGTTAAACACCAGTGTCTGTATTTGAATCATGATGCTTTCCCAGCAACTGGATGTGACATTTCTGACAAATGTTATTTGACTTTTGCTAAGATGCAAGCCGGTATAAAGACTGTCACTTATTTAAATGCGGTGTTGGAATTTCTTGGTAGTCTCAACTGATATTGATATTCAGTCCAGGAAGCGGAGGAATGTCAAATCTCCAGTTAAACGGTTTTAAGTAACTGTGTACAATAATTAGAAAACAAGTCTTATTTGGTCCATTCTCCCTGCAGCTGCTTTCCGATCACACAGGTTTGATCAAGGGACCAATTATAACAGCTACAGAAAGCTCAGCTAAATTACCCGGCCATGAACTTGAAATGAAAGCAGTTTTGCACCAAATAAATAACAACCTTTTACTATCTGTGTAATTGCAGAAACAGTTTTTTTTTTTCTCCACGGCAGAGAAAACCAACTGCCTCATAAATTTCACACATTAAAATGTACCACCAGTGTTTAACCAAGGTTCAAAAGTTTATCACCCTGCGAGGATGGTTCTTCTTTGAGGTAATCTCCGGTTCAGGGTTTACAGTCGTGTGATCCAATTATCCCTTTTATGTGAGATATCTGACTGTTATTGTGCAGCAACTCTGGCACTAAACTGAGCACACATTGTTAAGGAAAAAAAGAAAGAAACATAATGTTTGTTTATGAGGACGGTAAATTTCTCAGAAAAGTCTGGTGCCTGCACTCGATGATTTAGCCAGGCATGAATCAGCGCCCAGGCAAGTGAGCAATCACACAACACACAGCAGTCAGAGGGAACACATTCACGCCTAATACAGTTATTTCTGAGTCTGAAATGTGTTTGCTGCTTCACTTCAGTTTGGTCAGTGCAGAACAATGTCACCTGAACTCAAGTGAAACCCGAAAAAGCTGCAGCAAGATGCCTGAAAACAGCTGAAGGACCTGAGTTCGGAGTGTAAGAGGGTTGGTAAATCTGAAGGCAGTTACCTCATATACATATTTCTCTGTTTGTTCTTAAAACTACCAAGACGGGAGAATTACACCAAAAGACAAGTTTGTCATGTGAAGCTGAAGTCACAGGTACCAGAATCTGATTTGTTTCGACGTCCTCTTCCACCACAAACTCAAACCGAGTGGGATGACAGGTTGGTCGATAAAATCTGTGTCCGCCGCTGTTGCAATAAACTACAGTCCGTTGCAACAGCCGTGGATGGATGGAGTCTCTTTCCATCGTTTGTCACTTTCCCTTTGCACCGTCCACAAAGAATTGACGTGTGCAGATGATCTGTAAACTGTACAGTTGAGTGATTTGAAATAGTATAGATTGGAATAATCCATTACATGCAAAACACGTAATAAACTGGAAAGCATGCGGACGCCTGAACGTTACAGCCATATGTGAATGTCATTCCAAAACAAAACAATGGACATGAACTCCACTACTATAACAGCCTCCACTTCAGGCTTGCAGATTTTTAGAACCCGGCTGCAGGAATTCGCTCCCCTTCAGACACGAGAGCCTCGGTGAGGTACAACACTGATGTTAAGTGATAAGGTCTGGCTCACTGTCAGCGTTCCAGTTCAACCCAAAAGTGTTGTATGGAGCACTGTGCTCACACCAAACTGAGAAAAACAGTTATTTATTTTGTTAAAGATTATTTTTGGGCCATTTTCAACCTTTACTGGATAGTTGGCAGTAGAGAGGGGGTACGATGTGCAACAAAGGACTCGAACCAGGGACGTTGTGGCTATGTGGTATAATAATAATAAGAAGAATGATAGTAACAACTTTATTTGTACAACTTGCTCTGATATACCTAATATTTAAATGTCATCTGGTCCTAAACTGCTCCTACTGAATGATACCTCCTCTTTAGAGCTCATCAGACACATACACTTTTAGTTGGTTTGACAGCAGCAGGATCATTCTCTCTACAGTCTTTATTGGATATAACATATATGGAGTTGTCAGTAGCAAGAAAGCATGATGCCAAACAATCAATCAACCATCAGTGCCTGGACTTCCTTTACTGATAAAGGGAAAGATCTTCTATGTACACGCTAGGTCATACACCCTACACGACTTCTCTATGTATGTATAAGAAGCCTACGTATATGCATATATGTGCTTGTCTGTGTGTCTTAAATATTTTTCATTTCATTATTTCCCTTTTTTTGTTATTTTTCCTTTTTCAGCTCCCCTTTAAATTATTTATTTTCAAAAAATGTTCTCCATTGCTCAGGCCAATTGTAATGCGGACTGGGTTGAAGCAGTGGGTGGTGGTTAATTGTTGGGTAGTTCTTTGTGTATGTTCTTTATTAAATGTAGTTAAATAACAATACAAAGTTGACAGCAAAAAAATATATAAATTTTTAAAAACAGAGTTTACAAAGTGCTTTGACAACGAAAGCAGGCTATTCAGTACAGAAGGCAATAGAACAACAGGGAAGAACCGTAAGGCCAAAAAAAGTTAAAGCAAGCAAGACAAAAGACACAAAGACACAAAAACACAGTAGAGACAACATCACATGAAAGCAAGTTTATAAAAATGGCTTTTAAGAAGTGATTTAATAGAAGTCACTGTTTCTGCAAGTCTCATCTCCTCAAGCCTCAACTTTGGAACGACCAGAAGAGCCCCACCTGAGGATCTACAGCTGCAAACTGCCTCCTATGGGGTCAACAGTTTTGCTGTGGAGCTCGGGGGCTAGACCCAGACGTGCTTTAAAAAGTGATCATTAAAATCTTAAAATAGATAATAAAGCAAAGAGGGAGGCACTGGAGAGAAGCCAGGACTGGGGCGATGTCGTCTGTTAAAACCAGCAAGATGCACCCTAACAGTCGGACCACCAGGGTGCCAGGAAACCCATTTCTTTATGGACTTGGCTTTGAGCACAGCGGCAACAGTACGGTTCATTGAGGTGTTTTTAATAGTTTTTGGACAACAATGAAGCTCTATGGCACAGAGGAAGAAGATATATCAGGTTTTAATACACACAGCACTTACAAATAGATACATCAATTGTTGGTTTTGGTCTTTTTATTGGATTTTTTGACAGTAAGAAAATACAGAGTATCACCAGACTTTATTATTAATGTAAAAGTATAATTTATAAGGAAATACAATCCATCACTGATGAAAAATCTTGCTGGTACAGTGGCTGTATATCTGGAGCTCCTTGATTTTCTTTACAGCGACTGATGTTACAGGTTTGAACTGTTGCTACAGAAGTAAAACCAGAAGTGACCCAGAAAGTGGAGCAAATGTCAAGGGAATTTGTCTTCTACATATCAGTTTTATCATTCACACTGAGACACTGACATCCCGAATCCAGCTGACACAGAGCTCAGCACTTTGAGATATATACGGAGGAGAACATACCTGCTAAGTGTTAATACATAATGCAGCAGCGCTCACTGACAGTAAAGTGTGTCACATGGATTGGCTGTAGTAATGCAGGCGGCTCTGTCACAAATGAATCGAATGCTTCCAGGTTCCGGCGGGTGGACTGAGGGGATCCCACTGTGACCCAGATCCATTTTAAACGCCTCGCTCTGGGGAAGCTGATGGACAGACGCTGGCTACGGAGAGAACCCGTGCTATGTCATTATGCTGGCAGAGTGTGGAGTGCCATGTGGA